TAAGACCGGCCTTGATTGAGTCAAAGTGGACCACTACCATCCCAGGAAAGTGACGCATTGGGTGAAGTCCGGCCTGGAGTCGGAAATCCACAGAGTCCGGAATCATCATCTGAATTTGGGCCCTATTTTGGGCCGTGAGTTTTTGACGCATCAGCCTAATTAGAGCTAGCTCAAGTTTATGGCAGGAAACGCCGCTAGGAGGACCGGCTTCCATAACTTCCAATTCATCCCCCGATTTGGTGCCATCAGGGTAAACGTCGGAGGAAGAGGAATCATCACCATTGATTTCCGCCGGAATAGGGACAACCTGCAGCACATCGTGGGGGTTTTCCTCTGGGATTGCAGCACCGGAGGTAGAGGGTTCAGATGGACGAAGGGATGCCATTCTCACCGAACGAGGAGACGAACAGTAGAAGGGAGTTCGAAGGATACCTGAACAGAAGCAGCTGGTAAAGCTCTAGAGAGAAGGCAGAATACGAAGCCGGAGATACCAAAATTCGAAACCCAGAATCAAAACCAAGAGAGCCTACTTATACTCTGTCACGCCGAATCAATAACCAGTCAGAGAAAGACACGTATCCAGTAATAATGATAAAGACACGTGTCACGCGGAGAATCCTTCTCAAGTAATCATGACGTTTATCGGAGAAGTGAAACGGCAGTTGCAGATAGCCGTCAGAATATGCCTCGGGAACCGGCGGAATACGATCCGATAGGAACCCGAACAACATTCGGGATAAAGCTTCTACTTCCTTATGCCCTCACTACCGTTCGAGACATAGGAAGTGGGGGACTAGTGTTGGGATATTAGGTCCAGGCCCAATATCCCTAGGCCCAAATCCGGGAAGAAGCAGCGGGCCCAAGGCAGTCCAAAGAACTCCCGAACGGCATTCGGTGTAAAACTTATACTTGGAACATTCCGGGAAACAATTATGCCAAAGTATCAAGGCCCAGATATCGATCGGCGTTCGGGATACTTCCATAACAAGATCACCTATGGTGGGGGCCCATACACCGAACACCTTGCCCGAACGGGTGGTCAGCAAGTGGAGGCTGCATTTAATGCTGGATCATGGCGGCTGCAAGTGGGGGCATGAGTTCTTACATGGCAGAGGTGACAGCCTACCAGATTCGGCCACGTGGCCACCTTGCCCATCCCTATTTTAGTATAAATACCCATGTTTAGATCATTGTAAAGGGTTAGCATTTTAATACTCAGAGCTTAGCAATAGATTTACATCTCTTATCCTTGTATTCTTATAATCATCTACCGTTCGGGTAGTTCCAGTGTAATCACATATCTACTGAATACCAATAAGCTCCTGAGTTGGATAAATATCTCACTGTTTTATATTTTACACACTCTTCGACCCAACCCAATATCCCCACAATATCCAAAGCTTGTGTTGGGCTTTCGGATCTTCGGGACTAAACTTCAACACATCTTATTCATTAAGTCTAGTTTACTCATACCAAATTTCAGCTAACATATCAATCGGGAAGGCATTCAAATGAATTCTTGAAGACAACTGTGCTTTTAACTCCGCAGTTATCTTAGAGAATTCATTTGAATGCCTTCTCGATTGAATTTTTAGCTGAAATTTGGTATTAGTAAACTAGACTTACTGAATGAGATGCTTAAAAATGTTCATCAAAAAATTCCACCGGGAACCACCCCAAATGGCGATGGCCGGACAGAGCCTCTTAAATAAGATCTTATTTGACCCTTTTTGGTTAGTACGTGACCTTATTTGACCCCAAATGGGAAGTTATAAAACTGCCTTGCACCATAGTCACGTCCTGCAAGTGGGTAAGATATAACCGCATCATCACACTATATAAAGGAAGGCAAACTGCGTAGAATCACATCTCATTCTATAAAGCAGCATAAGCTTCACAGTAGGCCACCTATTTTATTTACCTTACCCCTTTTCAAATTCGGGGCATCCTATTTACACCATCAATCCCATTTTTATCTTTTTCTAACTTTGTGGCAGAGCAAATCCAAGGTGAAGATGTTGTTCAACAAGATTACAAGCTCAACACTTCCTGGACAAACTGGGCTCTACGTGTGAGCATGGTGCGCACATACAATATCCCAACATACTCCAACAAAAACGTCACAAACTCACTGAGGTACTTATATTTCAAATTCGGGAGTCCTATTTACACTATCAATCCCATTATTAACTTTGTGACATCGCAAAACCAAGTTGAAGATGTTGTTCAACAAGATTTACGAGCTCAACACTTCCACGACAAACTGGGCTCTACGTGTCAGGATGGTGCACACATACAATTTCCCGACATACTCCAACAAAAACGTCACAAGCTCATTGGAATGTGTATTCCATGATTCTAAGGTACTTATATTTCATGTTATTCAATGTATGTATTTCATATTACTTGAATTCAACGAACTAGCTACATTTTGGGGGTGCAATTTGACAGAATTCACGCCACAGTACGTCGTGAAAGGGTGGATGAGTTTGAAGAACGTGTCAAAGAGGGGAAGCCATATATCATGAGAAACTTCATTGTCATGAATGTATGCTGAAGTGTGGTGCACACATGAATATGGAATGGTGTAATCAGTCACGATCAATCAAGTACATGTTTAAATATGTCAACAAATGGCATGATCGTGTGACTGCTGGATTTTATCAAAACAATGGTGTTGAAGATTCCATACAACCAGTTGACGAAATAAAAATGTACTACAATCGTAGATATGTGTCCTCTTGTGAAGCAGCATGGAGAATCCTCGATTTTGATATTCAATATAGATTTCCTCCTATTGAGAGACTAAGCTTGTATTTACTGATGAACAAAATGTCTATTTCTCCAACTTATCATCACTGCAGACCGTAATTGACCAACAACCCATGAAAGAGAGTTTGTTTTTGGCATGGTTTAAAGCAAATGAAAAGTACCCTCAAGCGAAAACCTTAACATAGTTGAGTTTCCCCAAAACTTTGTGCGACACTCATCAATGAGGGAATGGAAAGAAAGAAAAAAAGGATTTTGTATTGGTAGAATAAATTATGTGCCACCTGGTAGCGGTGAAATATTTTAACTGTGATGACTTATGAATATAGTTAGTGGAGCCACATGTTATGAAGATCTTACAAAGTTTGATGGTCTGCAATATCTGACTTACTGTGATGCATGTTATGCTTGTTGGGGGTTACTTGATGATGATAGGGAATACATAGATGCAAGTTAGGAGTCAGGTCACTCAGGTTCTGCCTATTTACTCAGATATCTATTCGCAACAATCTTAACATCCGATTGTGCATCGCATCCAGAACACACTTGGAAAAAAGATGGATATTTCGCATTCGTATATGACTACATTTTTGAAAAAAAATCAAATAACCATTTTATTGATAATCAGATCTTAACAAGAAACATAACAACTAAAAGCCAAAGCATTACAATCACAACGTTCAATACTACACTAGGGTGAGACAAAGAATAAAAACGCCATATAAAAGCACTCATGTTCGCTAACCCTGCAACAATGTAGAGACTCGTACCGCAATGTGTCTGCTCATGCTACTCGAAATGGGTTCAGTTTGACCAGCCACCAAAAAGGAATTATTGAACTTGCCGGTTTTTCCAGCCATCGGTAAGAAGCCAAGTGCAGAAATTGTTCCGGTTTGACCAGCCACCGGAAAGAAAGAAATCCATCCAATGTCATCTTCCTGGATCGGTGGTGGTTCAGGAGGGGGGCGATCAGACTCTATATCGACGCAGAAGAAATCCTGATTCATGATTGATAAAGAATACAATACAAACCTCTTACTAGCACACAAGAACACCCGACCGGTGATGGTGGGGAATATAGATCTGGCGAGCGACACTTCACCACCGAAAATAATATCTCTAGACAATGCTAGGAAATAAACGTATAGATAGAACTGAAAATACTGATTAAACGAAACTTTTTCCATGATTGAAGTCAAAAGAAGAGAAGAAAAGAAGGAAGGAAAAGTAATCATGTGAATAAGATGCTCAAAAATTTTCATCAAAGAATTCCACCAAGAACCGCCCCAAATCGCAACGGTTGGACAGAGCCTCCTATATAAGGACTTATTTGACCTTTTTATGAAATTTCGAGGATCTATTTGACAGTTTTTCCTAGTTAATATGATAAAGATGGTAATAATCGTAATATCCCCCTCAAGTTGGCTCACGGGGTCAAAAATGTGCAACTTGCGAGATAGATTTTGAAATTACGTTTTCCCAATGCTTTGGTGAATATATTAGCTAATTGGACCATGGTAGGGACATAAGAAAGAGCAATAAGAGTGTCCCGAACAGCATCACGTACAAAATTACAATCCACTTTGATGTGTTTGGTGCGTTCATGAAAGACATGATTTCATGCAATATGAAGAGCAGACTGACTATCACAATGAAGGGGCATAGCTTGAGGACGATGAATGCCTAAACTTATAAGCAAAACCTTTAACCACTTGAGCTCACATGTTGCAGCGGCCATGGAACGGTATTCGACCTTGGCAGATGACCGAGACACGGTAGATTATATTGTTTCTTGGTTTGCCAGGAGACTGGAGAATGTCCAAGAAAGACTAACCAACCAGATAAAGAACGACGAGTGATCGGACAAGCAACCAATTAGAATGACACTCGCCAGTAAGAGTGAGATCCCCATCAGTACGCAGTAAAATCCCTTGACCCAGAGAGCCTTTAAGATAACGCACAATGCGAAGGGAAACATCCCAATGGTCACGTCTTAGAGCATGAAGAAATTGTGACAAAATATGGACAAAGTAAACAAAGTCAGGTCGTGTAACAAAGAGATATATAAGGCGGCCAACCAGTCGTCGGTATGGTTCAGGATCTTCAAGAAGTGGGCCATTAACAGTCGCAAGACTATGATTTTGTTCAATAGGAAAATTCACTGGTTTTGCACCAAGAAGTCCAGTTTCCGAAATAATGTCCAAGACATATTTACGCTGAGTGAGAAAAATCCCTGTAGGACTTCGTGCTACCTCAATACCTAGAAAATATTTGAGTGTGCCCAGGTCTTTCATGTGAAAACATGAACTCAGACATGATTTGAAATGAGCAATAACATCACCATCATTTCCAGATATAATGAGATCATCAACATAAACTAAAACATTGAGCTGGATTGACCATCATGTACGCATAAATAAAGAGTAGTCACATAAGACTGAAGAAATCCATATCCTTTCAAAGCACCAACCAGCCTGGCGAATCAACAACGCGGGTCCTGCTTATGTCCATAGAGAGATTTTTTAAGATGACACACCAAAGAAGAATCCGTGGTTTGATATCCGCTAGGAATAGTCATGTAGATTTTTTCGTGTAAGTCGCCATGAAGAAAGGCATTATGGACGTCCATCTGATGCAATTCCCAATTTTTGCAGGCCGCGACTGCCAAGAAAGCGCACATAACTACCATTTTGGCAACTGGGGCGAAAGTTTCAGTATAATCCATTCCAACAACTTGATGATTGCAATAAATCACCAAAAGAGCTTCAAGTCTTTCAATACTTGCGTCAGATTTACACTTAATTCTATAAACCCAACGGCATCCCAAAAGTGCGTTTTTAGAAGGTAAGGGAAGTCCCACGTGGAGTTGCTTTCTAAAGCATCAATTTCAGCTCGCATGGCGTCACGCCAACCTTCATCTATAACGGTCTCACAAAAAGATTGTGGTTCCATCCCTGAAGAAATTGAGGCAAAAAAGACGATGTTTAGCAGAAAAATTATCACAACTAACATAACGAGACATAGGAAACAGTGTACCTGAGGAAGATGACGCAACGGAGTGAGAAGGATATGGACTGCTTTTCACAATTGTGTGAGTCACATAATCTTTTAACCGGACAGATGGTACCCAAGAACGACTCCCCCGTCTAAAGTATGCCGAATCACTGGGCAAAGAATCATTGTCAGCTGCGACAGAGGGTCCAGGAGTGGGATCACTCATAGGTGGATCATTCATAGGCAGAGGAGTTTCTTCAGGCTCATGTGTCGTATGCCTAGATGTCCAGGGAAAGGAATCTACATGGTCAATTACCTCAACATTGGAATTGTAAATTTGTGATAATGGAGGTGTTTCCACGACATTACTTTCAGCATAAGGAAAAAATCTTCAACAAATTTGACATCACGAGAAACAAAGAATTCATGTGTCTCGAGGTCAAAAACATTCCAACCCTTTTTGCCGAAAGTGTATCCCACAAATACACATTTCCGACTCCGGCTCGCAAATTTATCGCCTTTGGATCACATATTGTAGGCAGAGCATAGACACCCAAAAATTCGAAGGGAAGAATAACATGGACGAAATCCAAAAAGAATTCCATATGGAGTTTTAAAATCAAGAGTAGTCAAAGGGGTGCGATTCACGAGATGAGTTGCGGTTAAAATGCACTCACCCCAAAAAGTCAAAGGTAAATTAGCTTCAAAACGTAACACCCGTGCGACATTTAGTATATGCCAATGGTTACGCTCTACGGTGCCATTTTGTTGAGGGGTATCCACACATGAAGTCTGAAATAAAATACCACTAGTGCTAAAAAATCCTTTAAGCATATGAACTCCGTTCCATTATCACCCTTCACAGTAAGTACCTTTTTGGAGAACTGCCGTTCCACCATAACCACAAATGGCAAAAAAATTTAAAACTTCCCTTTTGTCAATTAAGAGAAATGCTCAAATGACACGAGAATAATCAGATCACAATGCACAAGTTCAAAAACATCCTTAATTTTGCTAGAACTAATAGAAAAAAGAGTCTCTTGCGTGTTTAACACAAAAACATACATCTCATGGAGGCAAAATTAATTCTTCCAAATTATTCAGAGGTGCTAATCTCTGCATCACCTTTTCGGACAGGTGACCCATACGCTTGTGCCATATCTTTAACGCTGATTTTCTTTTTCCATCAACTGCCTTGATTTGAGCATTTTCATCTTGTCGGAAATAGTACTCCTCCTCTCACCCGTTCCAATCAACTTCCTCA